GCCCGGCCCGGCCCCACGCGCCTCGCCCGCAGCTCGTCGCCCGCGGCGGACGCTCCGGGGACCACGGTGCTGCACGAGGCCGTCACCTTCCACCCGCCGCCGCTGCCAGGTGAGGCCCGCGAGCCGGTGCCGGTGCCAGCGCGAGCGGCGGTGCCGGGCCCCGCTGTGCCCTGACTGCCCTGGCCGCCCGCAGCGCGGTACTTCGACACCAGCACCACGGAGCCCATCAGCTTCTTCCTGTCGGGCCTCGAGGAGCTGCTGGCCTGGCAGCCCACAGGGGACGACGACTTCAACGTGGCCGCGGTGCCGCTGGCGCCACGCCAGCCACCGCTGCACACCGACCGGCCCCGCACGCTTGTGTGCCACGACATGCGTGGTGGCTACCTGCAGGACCGGTGAGCACGGCGCGGGGACAACGAGCCGCCCTTGCTGGCATGGTGCCCACTGGGGCCCTGGGGCCCAGCTCACGCTGACCCAGCCTTGCAGCGCGGCGCAAGCCCCAAACCTGTTTTTCTGCTGTTTGATTCATCCTCCGAGCTGGACTGAGCGCAGCTGGCTGGGATGGAGGCTGGGAGCTGGAGCTGGAGCACTGGGCTCTGCTTGGGCCGGCCTGGCTGGGTCTGCGTAGGGTCACTTGGCTGGTGCCACCCGTGCAGGTCTGGCTGTGGGTCAGTCCCTGGCCCCTGCCCAGCCCTGCATCCTCCCGCTGCAGGTTCATCCAGGGTTCGGCCACACGCAACCCCTACGTCTTCTACCACTGGCGCTACATCGACGTCTTCGTGTACTTCAGCCACCACACGGTGACCATCCCGCCCGTGTGCTGGACCAACGCAGCGCACCGCAACGGGGTGCCCGTGCTGGGTGAGGGCCGGCTGGTGGGTGGGCAGCGGGCGGCGGGGCCGGGCGGGCGCTGAGCGGCGCCTCCGCAGGCACCTTCATCGCGGAGTGGACAGACGGCGAGAAGCTGTGCGAGGCCTTCCTGGGCGGCGGGCCCGACGCCTACGGTGCCGTGGCCGAGCAGCTGGCGCGCCTGGCCCGGCACTACCGCTTCGACGGCTGGCTGATCAACCTGGAGAGCAGGCTGAGCGTGAGCATTGCCCGGTGCTGCCCCGTGCAGCCTGTGCTGCCCCGCGCTGCCCCGCACTCACTGCGCTCCCCGTGCGCTCCCCGTGCGCTCACTGTGCGCTCATCGTGCGCTCCGCAGGCGGCGGCCGCGAGGAACCTGGTGCCTTTCGTGCGGCGCCTGGCGGGGCGGCTGCACAGCGCTGTGCCGGGCGGACTCGTGCTCTGGTACGACAGTGTGGTGCAGAGTGGCGCGCTGCAGTGGCAGAACGAGCTCAACGAGCACAACGAGTGAGTGGCCAGCGGCAGGTGGGGGGCGGCTCCGGCAGCCCGGCAGGATGGGGGCCAGCGCCGTGTCCCGCTGCCACAACGCCCATGTCCCCAGGGAGCTCTTCAATGCCTGCGACGGGCTGTTCGTCAACTACAACTGGCAGGAGGAGCACCTGGAGCGCTCGCAGCGCCTGGCTGGGCGCCGCCGCACCGACGTCTACTTCGGCATCGACGTCTTCGCCCGCGGCAATGTGCTCGGCGGCGGCTTCGACTCGGACAAGGTGTCAGCTGCCTGGCGACCCCTCTGGCCGCAGGGAATGGCCCCGGGGAGGGGATGCACATGGAGCACCCCGGCGGTGCCTGGTGTGATGCCCGTGCCGTGTCCCCTCAGCCCCTGAGCCTCATCCGCAAGTACGGCTTCTCCGCGGCCATCTTCGCCCCCGGCTGGGTCTACGAGCATCTGGGCGAGGAGAACTTCCTGCAGAATGAGAACAAGTGAGTGTGGGCACGAGCATGGGCACGAGCATTGGCAAGGCCCAAGGATGAGCAGGAGATGTGTGTGGAGAGGACCATGGGGATGAGAGCGGCATGAGTGTGGGGATGCACTGGGTGAGCCGGGGCCCAGGGCCCAGGCCGGTTCCCATGACCGCCGGTGCCCGCAGGTTCTGGGCGCTGCTGGCGGAGCACCTGCCCACACACAGCATCTGCACGCTGCCCTTCGGCACCTCCTTCGGCCTGGGCATGGGCACCGCGCTCTTCACCGATGGCAAGGTGGGTGCGAGGCTGCGGGGCGCAGGGCAGGGGGGTCCCCGCTGCCTACCCTGGCCCGCTGTGCCCTCCCGCAGGAGGAGGAGGTGGGGCCCTGGTACGACCTGAGTGTGCAGGACATCCAGCCGCTGTACGCGGGGCTCGCGGGAGGGCTGCGCCCCGGCTGCTGCCTGCAGGACGCCTGGCGCGGCGGCAGCTCCCTGCGCCTGCAGGGCACCATCGCCGCTGGCGAGGAGCGCGTCGCCCTCCGGTGAGTGCAGCGCGCCGGCCAGAGAGCAGGCCGTGAGCAAGCATGCCGTGGGGAGTGTGCCGTGGGGAGTGTGCCGTGGGGAGTGTGCTGTGGGGAGTGTGCCGTGGGGAGTGTGCTGTGGAGAGCGCGCCCTGGGGAGCGTGTTCTGGGGAGCATGCCATGGGAGCGTGCCATGGGGAGCGTGCCGCGGGGAGCGTGCCGCGGGGAGCGCGCTGTTGGCTCGCCACAGCCCTTGCCGCCCCGCATGCCTAACCCAACATCTCCTCTCTCCTCTCTCTCTCTCTCTGTCTTTCTGGGTGGATCGGGGTCACCAGCCTTTTCTCGTTCCAGGTGCAGGCGCCCCCCAAGCTGCTCCTGATGCTGCTCTTCAAGCTGGAGGAGCCGCAGGGCGACCCGTGCGACGTGTCTCTTGAGGTTGGCACCCGGCAGCAGCAGGGCGGCCACTCGGACGGTGTCGCACCTGAGCCTGGTGAGCGCTCCGGTGCCGGTGCCGCGGCCAGCGCAGCTCCGCGCCTGGTGCCCGGCAGCCCTGTCCTCCCGCCCTGCCTCCCGCAGAGCCCGACGCCTGGCACCGTCCCCGGCTGCTCCCGGCTCCGCCGCCCGGCCTCGCCAAGCTGCTCCGTGGCTGCGCCCATGGTGCCCACGGCTGGAGCAGCCGGTGAGTGCACAGGCGGGTGGGCTGGGGTTGTCCCTGTCTGCGCCGTGTCCCCGTCCCCATCCCTGCTGCCCGCCTGGCCCTCTGCGTGCAGGTGCTACGAGCTGGACTTGCAGGAGTGCAGCCTGCGCGACCTCTCCTTGGTGGTGTCCCGGCACCAGGCCAGCTCGCAGGACACCCCCTTCTCCTGCCTCCTGGGCGAGCTGCAGGTGGGTGCTTGGTGCTGCGGGCACATGCTTGCGAAATGCATGTTGTGGGTGCACACTGCAGGCCCTGCATGTGGCCAGCACACAGTCCTGAGGCTGCGTGCGCACGCTCCTGGTGCAGCATGCAGCAGGTGCATGCTCCCGGTGCTGCAGTGCATGCTCATGGCATTGCACGCAGCAAGCACATGCTCCCAAGGCTGCAGTGCATGCTCTGCACATAGTGTGCACCAGCCGTGCGCTCCCAGCACTGCATGCAGCAGCTCGCCCGGTCCCCTGCTCTCCGGGCTGGACCTCACGGGGCCCGCGTCCGTCTGCAGGTGCTGGACGCGGCCAGCGTGGCGGAGCCGCCGCTGCCGCTGGTGCAGCACGTGCGGGGCTCGCAGCTCTGCTGGCAGCCGGGGCCTGGCGCCCAGCAGCTCTCGCTGGCCCTCACGCTGCGCTGGTCCTACCCACCCGGCCGGGCCGGCGGCTTCGTTGTGCGCCGCGCGGACGCGCGG